CGATGCCAGCGTCTGCAGATGTTAGAGTCTGGGGACATGTCTCCACTGTGAATGGGAAACTGAGAGTGGGACGGGTGACAGAGCCTGGGGGGGCATTTTCAATTTTTTTTCTTTGCAAAGAAAAGAGATAAAGGATGACCCCAGGTGCGGTGGCTTGCACCTGTCATCCCAGCACTTTGGGAGGCCGAGGTGGGAGGAGCGCTTGAGCCCTGGGGTTTGAGAGCAGCCTGGGCAACTTGGTGAGACCCTGTCTCTACAATAAATTAAAAAATGAAGCCGGGCTCGGTGGCTCAGCCTGTCATCCCACGCTTTGGGAGGCCGAGGTGAGTGGATGGCCTGAGCCCGCGGGTTTGAGACCTGCCTGAACAACTTGGCGAGACCTCATCTCTACAATAAATCAAAAATCAGCCGGGCGTGGTAGCGCGCGCCTGTAGTTCCGGCTACTCGGAAGGCTGAGGCGGAAGGATCGCCGGAGCCCAGCAGGCAAGGCCGCGGTGGCCGGGAGCGGCCTCTGCACTCCAGTCTGGGCGACAGTGAGACTCCAACTCAAAAAACAACAACAACAACAAAAATTTCCAATTTCATCACAATTGCCAACATTTATTATCTGTCCTTTTTATGACTGCCATCCTTGTCGATTTGGCATGCTATCTTATTCTGATTGCATTGTTCTCAGTTGGTTTTCATGTGTATATTGGACATTTGTGTATCTCTTTTTTTGAGCTGGAGTCTCACTCTGTCGCCCAGGCTGGAGGGCAGTGGCATGCTCACGGCCACCGCAGCCTCGACCTTCTGGACTCAGGCAATCCTTCCGTCTCTGCCTTCCAAGGAGCTGGAACTACAGACGCACGTCACCACGCCTGGCTAGCTTTTGTGATTTTTATTGTAGAGACGAGGTCTTGCCAAGTTGTCTGGGCTGGTCTCGAACCCCTGGGCCCAGGCAATCCTCTCCCCTCGGCCTCCCAAAGTGTTGGGTTACAGGCATGAGCCACCGCGACCGGCCCATTTGTGTATCTCAGGCGGTGAAATGCCTGTTCAAGTGTATTTCCCATTTTTCCAATGAGTTTGTTTTTTTGTTGTTGTAAGAACCCCAGTAAGGTTCTGCATATATTCTACATATGAATCCCCCGTCAAATATATAACATGCAAACATTTTCTTTTATTCAACAGACTGCCTTTTCATGCTCTTGATAGTATTTTATTATGCACATGTATCATTTCCATAAAGTCTGATTTGTCTATCTTGCTTTGTTTGCTTGTGCTTGGTGTCCTAATAAAAGACCGTCTAGTCCTAAAAATTAAAAAAAAACTGCGGTGTTTTTTCATCATAGAAAATGTCCCTATCCCTCCCGCCCTGCCTCCCGGCCTGCACGGAGGAAGAGGCCGGAGACAAGGAGAAAAGGACACAGGATCCTTTTATTGTGTTGAATCCACTTTGCAGTAACAATTCCACACGATAGTAAAACACTGCGCAGAAGTGGGTGCGGCACACCCGGGATTTAGAAAAACCAGAAATAAAAACAACCCACGTCCAGAGGCCGTGGGGGCAGGACCCGCCATGGACCCGGCAGGGACGGGGGATGGGCGTCAGGGCGACAGCGATGCATCTGGGACTGGGGGAGGGGGCGTATGGCTTGTGCTGGAGGCCTGGCCTCCGTGGGAGCTGGGCTTCGGACAGGTGCCCTGGGGGGCTCGGACGGGGGGCGGCCTCGCCCTGCCCGGGGTCCCTCGGCTTCTCCCTGCTGAGGGAGGCGGGATGCGGCCCACGGAAGAGGCCAGGCGAGAGGAGGACGCCTCGGGAGTGTCCCCGGAGGGTGGTCGAGTTCGCAGTGGGGCGCTTCATGCTTGGCCTGGGGTCACCTTCGGGAGGGCGGGGGAGGGGCGCGCGCTAGCTCCTTCCTGGGGGGGCGGGAAGGTGTGGGGT